TCTAAAAGCAGACACACATTTCCATGTTCCGTCCACATATTTATTAAACTAACAAGTTTAATGCATATGTAAAATGCGTTTGGACACTGTATTTCAAATCAATAGAATAATTTGAGTCATCAGCTTTGTAGATGCATAATTACATATTACTTCCTGGGATTTTTAAAATATTCTTATTTATAATAAACTGCTCTTTAATTAAAACTGGCATTTGGGATCCAGTTTCTTTAGGGTTTTGCGTATGTAAATCTGGGCCCTAATTTTTATATATTCATTAATATCTTTGAGCTTTCCTTACTCCACACCCATCCTCTGCTCCAAAGCTGGTTTGAGAGTACAGAGCAGGATTGTGGCCCTGTTGAACTCAGGAGATCAAACCACCATTAAATCCAATTTATTTTAGTAGAACCAGGGAAGATTTTGCACCAACACTGCCAGGACACTTTAGTCTTGACTGAACGATATTTTTTCCATCTCTGAATTTTCTGTTCTTAAGTTAATTACAGCAAATATGTTGGGGTATGGATAAGAATTGTCCTGCCTCTTCAGCTTCTTTGAGGTGGAAACAAGATACATTTTCCTTAAACTCATTTATTTTTGCTCGTTTTTCTATTCCTCTTTGAATGCCCAGCACTTTGGTATTCAAATTTGTCACCTTACAAAGCTGTGGTTCTGCTGAGACCCTCTGGTCCCCCAACAGCAGCAGGACATTGAAGGATTTGAGCTGTGATCTCCAAGCAGCTGCAACCCCCTGCTCTAACCCCCCTCATTTCCACCTCAGCCACGGTTTCCTCAGCCCTACATTTCCTCCAGGTAGGACTTGATTTCCAAAAGACCTGGGTTTTGTCTGCTCAATCTCTTTCTTCAGTTTATTTTGCCCCAGTAAGAGGCTGTAAGGCCAGCACTGGCTTGTCCTTTCCCATAGGATGGTCCCACTGGGAGCCCCCAGCCCTCAGCTCCCGGGACCACTGCTCATGTGTAACCTGCCAGCTGTGGGGACAGGCTGTTATTCCGGTGGGAAGACGGGAGCCACAGCTTTGCTCTCCCAGACAATGACTGCTGGCTCCTTCAGCACATTGTTCTGTGCTGGCAGGAACAAACTAAGGCTTGGTCTTTGCTCCAGGAAATTCCCTGTCCTCCCTTGACGGGGTATCTGGCTGCACCAAGAGCCTTTCTGCTCCCACAGCAGTGGATCTCAACACCCATGTACAGGACTGGTGTCCTGGGGTGGTTTTTTATTTTAGGACTGACTTGGGAAGCTTGTCCATAGAAAATGAATAAGTAATTAAATAATTAACAATGAAATATTTTCCAGCTGGATAGCTGGAACACCTCCATACTCTGGCCAGGGTTTGGAAAGTTGATGGGGTGATGGGACATCAATCTGTGTCTTCCCTTATCCCTCTTAAAACTCTCCATGAGTTTTGGGAAGCTATGGGCATTTGGCAAAAGATGGTGGTGGTGGCTCTGGAATGAGCCTGCTCTGGTGTCCTGTGTTCTCCAAGTGGGATGTCTGTATGAGCAGGACCAGACTCTCCCAGTAAGGCTGTGGGGCCAGGGGAAGCTGTGTCACTGGACACCAGAGCCATAGAAGAGAGGCTTTCTCTTTTTGGAGTGTGCTTGCTGAGACAGCCTGGAGGAAAAAAAACAGAGCAGGGAATCAAATAGAAAATCTGTATGTTTGGTGGAGGAGGGAAAGTTGGAGTGAAGGCAGCCTGGAAAACTGTGGGGTGTTCTGTAGCCTGAGAGGGGAAAGGGGGGTGATAAGGTCTGGGACAGTGCCAGGAGAACAGGAGGAGGCAGAGACCGTGGAAAGCAGCTGGGAAGAAGCCTGCTTTGCGGGAGGAAATGTTATTATTAGTGCTCAGTTTCCTGAACAAAAGATTCTTGTCTATTTAAATACTTCAGCTTCACAGAGCTGCAGTTCTCCAGACACAATAAAATTTGCCTTTTCTCCCTGTCATTGTCATTTTCCGCTTGCAGCAGGTGGTTAAGGCTCCTGTGCTGTGGAGTAAATAATTTCAGGCTGCTGTGTGGGCTTGCTATGGTCTGGAAACAGAGAGGGCAAGCCCTGGGAATGAGAGGTTTGTCTCTTGTGTCTGCCTGCATCTGTTCTTGGAGATGCTGCTCTTAAACACCAGTGCAGATGCTGCTGGTTTAGAGACAAAGATCTATCAGATTTGAATAAAATTAATAAAAGCATAAAAATTCATTAAAAAGTTAAACATCTGGATATAAACTGCTCTTAAGAAACCTTCTGGGCCATTCTCAGTCTTCCTCAACCAACCATGGCAGGTTTTATGCTCCAGCAGCATCATGCAGAACCTCACTAATTCGAAATAATCTCAACTAATGGTTAATTTGAATTATCCTTTCCATCCAGGGATGTGCAAAGAACACACAGAAGTTGAAGTTGCTGCTGTGTGAGGAAGAGAGCAGGTTCTGTGCAAGGTGGTGCTCACACTTGTGCTAGAGCCATCCTTTGGTGAGTGAGGTGCTGCCATGACCCTGCTGTCTCCATGTGCTCTTCTCCACGTGCTTCAGCAGGTCAGACTGTTTCCCACAGAAATTCCAGATCATTTATGTTATAGGTAAGAAGTGCTTTTTCTATCTGTCTTGAAATTTTAAAATCTGATAGCAATAGTAATTTAATAGGAATTTACTTTGTAGAATCGCAACTTTTTTTTTTTTCCTATATCCCAGTAGCTTGAGTTTAATGTCAGATCTATCCCTACAGTGATAGAAATGTATTCAGTGCCCCATGCAATGGCCCAGAATACCATTCAATCCCTGTACAGGCCACCAAAAAATATGTGATGGTTCGGACTTGGCTCCTTGCCAAATGCTCAAAGCCCAGCAGCAGCCTCCCTCCTCCTTCCCCCTTCCCCTAGGGCAAAGGGAAAAAAAAACTATGCAAATTGAAGAACCCAAAAAAAATCAAGTAAGTTATATAAAAAATATATTTTATGTATATTACAGTTAAGATGCTATGTACACAGTAAACGGGAATCCAAACACCCCCCGAAGGGATAGGGAAAGGGGAAAAAGGGACAAAAGGAAATAAAAAGGGACACTGAATAGATATGTGCAATCAAACCTGAGAACTAGTAAAATAACTAGTAAAATAAATTTCACCACGTCCCTTAGAAAGCAGGATTAGCAGACACTGCCAGCACTCTCCAAGCTTCCACGTGGCAGGTCAGTGGATGCTGCAGGCCTCAGCCTTAGATAAGCAAGACCAACGCAGGGACTCACTGTTCCCGAACTTCGCCGGAAGAGAAAAAGAGAAGGCCTCTCCTCCCTTCTTATTTATACCATGATTTACGTAAAAATCATATGGAATACTGGGAACACTGCCCCTTCCTTAGTTACAACCTGATCACCAAGGAAGGCCTGGATTAAAACCACCACAAAATGGAACTTTTTTTCCATAAAAAGATTGGAAATGTCTCACTCTGCTCACTTCCTGATTATAATTGTTCCTTGTTCCAAGCCCTGCAAGACTTTGAAAAGTCAGCCTTCCTGAATGTATGACAAATATAAAAATATCAGAGAATTGTGGTATATCCTGAGTTGGAAGGGACCCACAAGGATCAGTGAGTCCAGCTCCTGGACTAGATATAAATATATATTCATATTGAAGTTACTACACGAGTGCAGATGTACTTAGTGCAGTCTGACAGTGCTGCAGTGGGACTGGTGGCTGTCACGAAGGACACACAGGATGCACAGCTGCTAAACCACTAAAAGCACGTCCTGTCCGTCTCAGTGGGGAGAGTTTCTGCATTGGGATTCTGGAAAACTGAATAATTCACTCGTGGTGAATGAATAGATGAAACCAACCTACAGTCATTCCAGTCAGATATATTTTTTAATCAGAGAGTTTCAGAAGATGACAACAGTCATTCTTTGAACGCTGAGTACGTGGGGATGAGCTGTCAGTGTTTTATGGGCATGAATTTCGTTAGGTAATTTTTTTCAGGGTAGGTAAAACCCCAGCCATGTGTGGCCCTCAGCCTCATGAGTGACGTGTCAGCCCTAGCAATTAGTACTTCTACTTCACAGCAGCTTGCACAGCTCTGTGCCTGACTTGTGCTTCTGCAACAAGCTCGATCCAGCACTGCCCCCAGCCCTGCAAAGCTCCGAGCACGGCGCTGCTGCTCCCCTTGCCCTGGAGGTTCTACTCCCAGCCAGGACCGACCTCCTCTCTCCTGTGAGGATGAGTGAATGACTCTGCCTCCTTGTTCCAGCAGTCCCAGCTTTGCCAGGAGGTAGGGAAGGAGTAACTTTTGACACAGGAGTATGTTCTGTGAGTGCTGAGGTAACTCAGGGCAGGCAGTAGCTGCTGTTGGAGCCGATGGCAGGGCTGGGAAGCAGAGGAGTGTTCAGGCTGTCAGCAGTTCCCTGGCTTCCCTCTGGCTGGGAGCACAGGAGCTCTCAGTCTCCGGCCAAGGAACACCGCCCCTGGGCCCTTATCTCTCCGGAAAGTGCAGTGGTGAGATGTTCTGTGCAGCGTTGTAATTCTCCTGACACTCCTCAGGCGGGGCTCTGGCACACTCTGTTTTCCCTCATGCTACAGCCAAGCTTGCATGGCTGGAGCTCTGGGAATGTGGAGATGCCTGGGTGAGCTGTGCCTCTGTCCCTCACCTGGGGAGGTGACAGCTGCCACAGCTGCCTGTCCTGGGGCAAGGACAGGTATTCAGGAACTCCTGCCAGGTTGTTTGGCTGTGGATAAAAACAGGCAGCAGGCTCCATGTAGCCAAGAACATGTCCATAGGCAGGAGAAGTGACCAGATGAGCGGGAGAACTCATGCCAGAGCTTGCCCATGGTAGTAGGAGCCCAAGGGATAAAGGACTTTGTTTGCCCTCCAGGCCAGCTCTGCCTCTCGCCGCTCCAGGGCAGCTGGTGGCCATGGGGACAGCGGTGGCTCCCGAGTGGCTGCTGAGTGCATGTTGGCCCTGGTGATGCGTTGAACTGCTCGAGCAAATCATCCTAAAATAGACTTCATATGTGATGCAGAAGAACCCAAGCAAAACACAAAGCTCAGCCAAACCCAAATTTATGCTTGTGGTTACTGAAGCTTGTGAGATCAATTTTTTGTTTACTTAAAACTGATTTCAAAGAGGTTGTTTTTTTTTTCTTTTAATTCTTATTCTTGATCGTTGGGTTGGGGGATGGTCATGGCACTGCTTCAGCTGGGGCTGAACATCATGCAGTCATCAGAGAGATGCTCTGTCCCAAAATGCACAGAATTAAGGTCCTGGTGAGGTGGTGACTTGGGGAAACACAGGGCCTGTGGTTGCTGCTACACTGGCACATCCCAGCAGTCACCCACAGAGAATACCCACCTGAGAGATTCTCTTATTTTCATGAAAACCTGGAAAAGTAGAGCTTTTTTTTATTTCTAACTTGTAAAATGAGTAAAGTTATCAAGTGTTAAAAGCACCAGTTCAGTTAAAAAAAAAAGGGGGTGGAGGGGAACAAAAATAAGAGAAAAAATAGCTGAGAAACAAAAAAACCCTCCAAATCCCACAAAGCCTCTGTGGAGCTGGTAGAAGCCAGAGCACAATAATAGCAGTGCTGGCTGATTCCATCTCCCATGTGATCCCACAAGTTGGGCTTACCCCAGCGGGACAGGAAAGCCTAGAAAGTCCAAACTGCCATATTTCAGGACAAACCATATAGAAAATAAACACATGAGATAAATAAAACACTGCCAGGAAATGATGACTTGTGGGACAGAGACCTGAGGTGATGCTGGTTGCAGCTCCCGGCTCATGATGCCAGGGGCACTGCCCAGCCTGGCCAAGGCAGGGAAGCAAGGGAAACATACACCTACTTTATTTTTTCAGGAATCTCTGGCTGTGTGGCCCCTGTTTCAGCAGAGAATTCCTGCCCCTTCAGCATCTGAACTGGCCAAATCCCTGCGGAGTCAGAGCCAGCAGCTCTGTGTGACCAGGACCCATCGTCCCTTTAGCAGTGATGTGGTGAGTGTATCCCGGTGCCAAGTCCAGATGGAGTTGTTCCCCAGGCAGATTCCTTCCTCTGGGTCCTTTTATTTATTCTTTTCTTCTTCTTGTCATCACTTACTTATTTGCATATTTGTCAGCATTAGGGGTGGCGTCCCAGTGGCAGTTTGTGTTGGCTTTCCAGGGCTGCTTGGGGTTCCTGTGCTGGGGGGGGGGCAAAAACTGTGCAGGGATGGATGGGACCAGGCAGCACAAATTGTGAGGTGGGGGGAGCCTGGGCTGGGGATTCAGCACTGGAAGCTTGAGGAAAGAAAATTGAATTTGTGTTTGTGAATGGAAATGGCTTTGCAGAAAAAATCCTGGAGAGAATGGGGTGGCTGGTGCTGCTGCTGTCGCGTCGTCTGTCCCTGCAGAACCTCACTGCTCCTGACCGGGGTTATTGTGCTGCCTAATTGCTTTTGGATGGTGTTCAGGCAGCAAAGTGGGGCAGCAGCAACTCTCCAGGCTGGTTTAACTCTTCTGGGGGGTGTAATTTCTGGTTGGTTACATGGGGAGGTGAGCTGGGAGACTGAGTGGGCAGCAGCGGGGCTGGAGCCAAGAGGAGCGGGAGCTACAGCAGCACCAGACAATAGGACCTTGGAGGTGGACAGGAGCTAAGTGAGCATTGAGTGCAACCATAAAAAGAATTTTACTAAAAAAAAGTGAGGTTAAAACCTGCAGTTCAGTGTGGAAGGAGAAGAGATGTCTTTAGGATTTGGAATAATGGGATGGAGCAGCTCCTAGCTGGGGGAGCAGGACGGTCTATGAAGCTGTGCTGTGCACACTGGGACCCGTCCCATGGGCACAGAATAAATTAACATGTGTCACAAGTGTTTGAAGGGAAGAAGGTCTGTTACAGAACCCCAGCCCAGAGCAGGCTTGGGGAGGACAGGGCGTTTAAGAGCTGTGGGGCCTCTCTTTGCTCCGTGGTGGAGACAGTGTTAATCGTTTGGGCTTAGTGGTGTGCAGCGGATCCCGGGGAGGAACAGGAGGGCTGTTAAGCAAGAGGAAATGGTTTGCTGTCTAGATGGGCTTAACACAATATAAACTACATGGTGCACAAGGAAAGTTAAATCCTGAAGTGGTGAAGGAGCTGGAGTCACCCCGCACAGCAGTGCAAGTGTGAGTGGGGTGAGGGGTTTCCTCATGGTGGTGATTGCAGCTAATGCTGAAGCACAATGTCCATGTGCCTTTTCCTTCAGACACAAAGGCATCTGCAACGACAACTGTGAGGCAGTTGTGTTGTTTTTCCCTTCCTGCTACTTTGACACCATCATTTTTTTCCCAGAGTAAAATTTCAGAACCATCTAGAAAGGAGACTGAGGGGGAGAGGTGACCTAAACCTGAGCAAGGGGCTTCCTAATGGGTGCCATCAGGATCTGGCTCTGCCCAGCTCATCCGGGTGACATGTCCTTCCCTCTCTCCTTCCCTCCATCTTTACCTGGCTCCACATGGCATGTGGAGGAACCTGGAAGGGGGAAA